CACGCGGTGTGTCCCTGAGGGCTGCTGGCCATCCCGATACACGCGGTGTGTCCCCAGGGCTGCTGGCCATCCCGATACACGTGGGTATGCCCTGAGCCTTTGGGGTGCCTGCAGGCCCCCAGTGCTGCGGCGCAGCCGGTTCCCTCCCCTGCGGTGCCCGCACATGGCCCCATTGGGATGCAGCCTCTCCTTCCATCGTAGGAGTGATGCTGCTGGCTGAGGGAGTGAGGTTTGCCTTCCCCTTGGGTCCACAGCATGTGCATTTCGGCGAGCAGGCTGGCACAGGTCCTCTTCCAGGTGTGAGCACAAACCCGTGCCAGTTCTTAAGTACACCTGTGTATTAACGCACCCACTTTCCATACTTGCGGCTCTTTCTCATGTCTGTCCCGAAGCCAGTCAGGTTGGGCCTAGGGAGGAGGGAGATGCACACTTGAAGGTACAGCTTTTAAGGCATTGGTGCAGTTTTGCCTGTGTTTCTGCAAAAAAATGCTATCCCACAGAACTGCTCATTTCCTATTCGTAGTCCTAGTGGAATACTTTATGTCAGTACAAATAAGCACTAAAAATAGAAAGGAAGGGAAGTAGCCACTGGTTTCATTGAGTTTTCCAGAGACCAAAATGAACTTGGTTTTCCAGTGGCCACTCAGAACAGCGTGGTGGTTGGCTGCAGCATACACTGTCACTTGGCAAAATCGGCAAAATCATATTGCCTGTTCGCACAAATCAAAGTGTAAAGAACAAAGTTCCGGAAGAAATTAAGAGTATAACTTGTTTACATAGACATCTGTGGAGCAGAGTTCAAACACGACCATCTGGAGTTGTATTGCTGCCACTTCTGATTATCACAATGATCTGGGAGAGCAGCTGCCAGCTTTGCTCTGTCATAGGTCAGCTCTGAGCAGTGTCCACCCGGCCCTTCCAAGAGAGTGTGTAATCGGTCCCACATCCACTGAGATGGGACTGGCTTTGGGCTCCTGTCTTAAAAGTGGAAATTTCCATATCCTGTGTTTTAGATGCTTTCTGAAACTTAAATTAGGAGGAACAATGCTGGCAACTTCCATCAGAAACTTGCCTAAAAAGGCAAAAATATGTAATGACACATCGAGCGTTTCAATAGGAAGTGTCCAACTGTCTGTTGAGCAAACTATATACACAATTGTGGCTACTCCTTTTGATTGCCTTGTGCAAAGGCTCTCACAAAGCATTTTTGCCTGTGCCCAAGGCAGTGGGTTTAGACTTTGATGACTGAAATAGAGCCTTCTGCAGCTGACAGAGGCTGAGCTGGGAGGATGAAACTGTGCTCAAAGGCTTGTTAAAGAAACCCAGTTAATGGCAAGCTCCTGAGTGTCCTTTCTGTTGGTGTTGCAGGATGGCTTCTGTCGCTTCTTCGGCAGGCACGGCTCGGAGGCGGCGGAGCAGAGCAGCACCATCGGCAACGCCATCATGGCAGCGGCGGCGGGCATCGGCATGGCAGGACTGGCTTTTCTCTTGGTGCGGTAGGCCCACGCACGGATCTAGCCCAGGGAAAGTACTCTCAAAACTGACAATTTACCAGATATCACTTTATTTTCTATAGAACAGACCCTCTAAGAAGAAGTCTATATTTTTAAACTGGTTCAGAAAACTGCCTCACCAAATCCTTGGCTGTAAACTGCTTCACTCGCTACCCAGTAATGCCACAAACAAATGTGTACTAGAGCACTATTTGTGCGTGTTCAAAACCTGTTGTCTCCAAACATGTTCTGGACTTTCTTTTTTGAAGTTGTAACCTAAACTTTAGCATGCTTCATGTACTGTAACTTCTGAGTGCTTGGTGTTATGCTAGGAAAACATTATGGTGGGCTTGCTACTAAACCCTCTGTTCAAGACGTCTTATTAACGTGGAGGCAAGTCTTGGAACCCGCATTCGTTAATGCTGTAAAGTGGGCGAACATTGACTGTGATCTAACGTGGTTTATGGCTTCAAACGTGGTGCACAGCACTTGTAATCAAAAGGCAACTCATTTGTTGATTTAGAGCAATTGGTGCCTGTGATGCAAGAAGCATTAGAGCTTAATGTAACATAAGGCTAAATTCATTACACTACAAGAAGGTAAGTATTGATACAGGACAGTAATGGCTGCAGTACTGATTCCTACTGAAAGGAAAAGAATTTAAATATTAAAGCTTAATTGGTATATTGAAATCCAGTGAAGGCTGGAATTTCTCTGGATTTCCTTTACAAAGTGAGAATTTCCATATATCTTAATATATTTTTGAAGTATTTATCACTGTATAATACTTGTAGCCATGACATCTTTATTTTTGTTTAAAACTTAATGCTGATTCTTGTCACTCTAGTGTGTATCAAGCATTGTCTTGTTTGAGTAATATTTCACTCTGTTTTCAAAATGCTGTGTATTTCTTTCAATGGTTGTACAAATTGCCTTATGTTTCTGGTAGCTTTTTAATAATGTTCCTGGGTTATTCACAATGTGTACAATTTTACTATGGTGACTTCAAAGGTGAATAAATGTAAAGTATTTTTATTTTAAAAAACCTTTCTGATTATTAGATCGGATGGATGCTGGTGCTCAGACAGTGAGTGTTTTGGTGGTTACCTGGATGCATCAGTTTATATTCACTGTATTGCTGGTGCTTTGACCTGAGATGAGGACTTCAGCAGCACCAGAGCAGTTTGATTCTAGTCTTCAATGCAGTCCTGAAGTCCAGACTGGAGCTAACACAGCCTGAGGGGAAAATCCCATCCAAAAGGACCATCTTCACTGTCGTGACTGGAAACACCCTGATGGTTTTGTAGGCCAGAGCTTTCCTAAGTTTACTAACATAAGTAGGTGCAGTCAGCCTCCTCCAAGAGTTGCTCCTGCTTGTAGAGAATGACAGAGCTCTTGTTTCTTCTCTTTCAAGACTTGCTGCTGCTCTCACACATGCATTTTTTTAACTGAAACTGGAGTTTCTGATACATGTTACGACAGCTGTACAGTGTGTTGCTGGAGTTCAGCCTTCTTGGATTAGTCCTACTGAGCAGCTGTAATCTTTGAGAGTGTTGGGCTTTACTCTTTTAAAAGGTGGTCTCATGCCCCTGTCTCCAAGCTGGGGGCTCTGATGCCTGTTAAATGCTGCAAGTCCATTGTTCTGCCCCCGTCCCTGGCTGCCTGTGGGCCCATGGCTGTGCCCTTTGAGAGGGTCCTCCTTGGTGAGCAGAGCACCCAGTGGGCAGCAGACTTCCTCTCAGGAAAGCTTATCAGCCCAGCAGCTGGGTCAGCATCACTGTGGCTGGCAGTGGCCACCCTGCTTCTGCTGGCCACTGGGCCCTGGGGCAGGCGTGCAGCAGCCAGGCTGGACAGAGCAGTGTTGTGCTGGCTGGCCACAGATGTGGGGAGAAGGACAAAAAGGGGCATTCAGGGGTGGTAAGTCCCGCAGAGGCAGGAAGGAGCTGGTGGTCCTCCCCCTCATGCTGCTGGCTCTGAATAAACGGCTGCTTGTTCTCCAACTTCCAGTTCTCTAAACTCCAGCTTGCCTCCTCTCAGCAAAAGGATTGGGAGTCCATGGTGCACGACTGCTCTCGGTTCCTCTCTCAGGTTCCTGCAGGGATGATGCCTGTGTGTGGCAGCTGAGTGCTCTGGGCACCTGCCTGCAGTCATCCAGGAGGCTGTGGTGCCTGGAACTTTGTCCACAGTGGGAGTAAGCTGGTTGGTCCTGGGAGCTGAAAGTATTTTCTAAAATGTGGGATGCTTAGGGGAATATGATGAAAAGCATGGGGAATGACAGGGCAAGAAATGCTCTAAACAGAGGTCAGATGTCTCTCCTGTGCCAGACAGAACAAAGATAAAATATCTTTATTTTCAGTGTAATCTGATCTGGCAGGCCCCACAAAAACAATAGCAGAGAGGATATTTATGCTGGCTTTTACAGTCTGCTCTGGAAAAATGAAAAAAGCCCCCAACAAACACAGCCTGGGAATGTCCTTTCACAAAGTCACATGAGCTTTTGGTGTAAACCTGACCCTTTCCAACGTGCAGCTTGAAGAGCATCTGCCAGTCTTTCTTGGCCTGGGAGAAGCCAGGAATGGATTCTAAGAGCCAGGAAAGCTGCAAGGCTGAGTCAGAAGGCTACAGTGCAGCTCTGCAGTGAGTGGCAATACTGCCTGGAGCCAGGCTGCTCTGGTTTCTGCTGCGAGCAGGGGGCACAGCTCAGGCTGCTGGAGCCTGGCACAAGGGGTAACTGCCTGTCCTAGCCAGAGCCATGCTGCTGCTCTCTGCTGACATGGGAATGTAGGATTGAAGAGCAGGACTTAAATCACTGGAGCCCCATTGATTTCAGGGCAGTTCGGACTAACTTATGTTTGCATGACTTCTAACTTTTAAAAATATTTTTATTTCAGTTTCCACCTGACAGTTTGCCTCAATGGAGTAATGTGTTTCTCAATTGAAAACTGCTGCTCATCCGCTTTTCTGCCTCAGAAAAGGGAAGCAAGATGCTGCTGTTGCTTCCTTTAAATGCAGAAGGGAAGTAGGTGGTGTTTCAGTACAAGGCTGTGTCTCATCCTCACAGCAGATTTTGGCTCTCCAGCATTGTTGTAATTCCTGGGCCTGTGGTGGATGCAGCAGGCTCATCTTGTCTGGAGATTAGCACATGGCAATAGCTGCAGGTTCTGCAGGGGGCCCAACAAGTGCTGGCAGGATCTTGCATTTGAGGGAAAAGGAGAGGAGTGAAGGTGCTGGCTGGGCTCTTCTATCACCTGGCTGCTCATACCAGTTTTGTGTCTTTTCTGCTGTGCTGTGTATGAAGACCTTTGGAGGGCTGAGGGATGGGGAAAGTGGTGTTCCCAGTTAATAGTGGTGCTCACAGTGGTCTCACTGGAGCTGTCAGTGTTTTCTGCTGGTTCTGCACCTGCTCCCTCCCTTCCCTTCTAAAGGGGCATCCATTGGAACTACAGGCCAAAATTGCAGTGCTGTTGCAGCAGCCCAGCTGCTCATTAAAGGAAAAAGCAATTTACTCATCAGGCTTCTTAAGAGCACTGAACTAGCCAGTAGATTTCTTTTTGACTTGGAAAAAATGAGGCACTGTTACAGCTCAAAAACATGAGTTGCAGGATGGTGTTATATGGCAGTTGGTGAACTGCTTTGCTGTGGTATGCAAAGAATCTGGTCTGGCACCTCTCACTGGAGGAATTGGTGCTGGTGCTGTGTCCTTTTCTCACCATGCACACTGCAAGGTGGTACCCAAGCCTAGGTAGGACAGGAGAGCCCTGTTAAAAATGACTCAGCGGTTGGATGGCCAAAACCCCCATAGAGAAGCACTGGAAAGAAAAAAGGTCAAGTGCATAGCATTTATTCACATAATATCACTTTTTGTGCTCATTCTGTTTAGATAATGAAAACAAACTTCTGGGTTTTACTTCTGTTTCTCTGGCTGCTTTCTGTACCCGACTTGAGCTGAGTTGTCCTTGCCAGGACAAAATGCTGTGTGGGGAGAGCAGGCACAGCTGGGAAATTACTTGCTTTCAGGTTTAAAAAGTGTCAGTGTAATTCCTTCTTAGATGCTGCCATTATTAGGAACACTTTTAAATGTGATCTTCAAACTGTTAACAATTATCTTGTCACTAACTGAAGTTTTTAAATGAGAACAGAGTTAAAATAAAAACATTAAATCCTGATTTACTTGAAGTCAAATGCAGGAAATCTAAAAATCATCTCTCTGCTGAACTAATGGGATAATTTTTGTTGGACTTTTTCTCTGCTTGGGCTTGGTCTATTTGTTTAATTCAAATGAGAGGTGGAAGTGAGGACCTGGCTTTCCTTGTCAGAGTCTCTTTTCAAGCAGGCTGTGTTTTTTGCCCAGCCTGTGATAAGTTTCTAGCACTACAGCCCATTGACAATCTCATGGTTTCTGGATGTTCACCCAAGCTGGTGTGTGTTGCGCATTTCTTTCAGTTAAGAATTAAACCTGTTAAAATGAGTGCTTTAATTCAGTTAGGGCCATGCTGGCCATGGGGATGAGTGATTCTGTGGTATTCTGTGGTAAGAGACTGCAGTGCAAAGCATTGGAAAAACCTCTCTGTGTGCAGAGAGGCACTGTAGGCTTTGCAGAAAGTTAGAGCTTTCTGGATTTAATAGCTTTAATGATTCTGACCTGTGTCTACAATTCACTTGAGGGAATGCTTGTGTTTGACTCAACCTGCTCCTTTGTCTCTGAACAGCTCAGCACATGGTGAGTAACAGCAGGAACCCCACACCCTGCTTACAGCATCTGGTACTGTCGTGTTTGGTATCAAATGTGGCTTATACCCTTAAGAAGCTGTGTGGGGAAGGGTGGCCTTGTTCACTCTAAGCACAGGGGAGATTTCTGTGCTGCATTGCACCTTGCGGGGACTGGAGATGGCAGCTGGAGCTCTGCTGTGGGCAGCCTGCTTTGCAGCTTGACACCAAAGCCAGGAGTTCTTGCTGGCACTTTTAATTTGCAATGCATAACAGTAAAAGGGCTTCATCAATGTCTGGGGAGACAGCACTGTTTGTAGTGTGCTTGCTAATGGCTGGTTGGCTTCTTCCTTGTAGCTGTTATTGTCTTCAGGAGAATCCCAGGCTGTTGTAATTAATTTTGAAGCATTAATTATGAAGGTTTATAATGAGCTCTTTGAGAACTCCTAAAATACAGGCAGAGCCATGTTGCTCTGGTGAGAAGTTGGTGCAGGACAGACAGTGTTAACTCCTCTCTGGGAGCTGCCAGCAAAAGCTCTCTCATCACCCACCCTCCTGGCACACAGGCTGGACCCTCCAGCTTCTCTGGCTGGACGTGGCTGCTTTGTGCCCCTGCCAGTTTAGGGCTTTCCCCCTCTCCTTAGACAGAGGATCTGCTCCCAGGGGTCCCAGCAGCCTGCCTGCTGGAAGCATGGCCCTGCTGGGATGCACCCAGTGCTGGGCTGCCCCTGGCAGCATGGGCATGGCTGCCTCTTGGTGCCAAGCACAAGCCCGTTGAAGGAGTGGCCATACAGGTGCTGTACTGGATGGGTGGTGGTTGGATGACTCTCTAATGATTCTGATGCATGAGCAAGAACAAATTCCACCAGTCGTGTGTAAAGTAACCTTGTGAAACGGTGCTGCTGTGATCAGTGGCAGCTGAGAGCTGATGGTGCTTGACAGGCAAGGCAAATACTTGTTTCCTGATATCCAGCAGAGATTTAAATGTGGAACCTGGTTATAGTGGGAGCCTACAAGTGATGAGGTTCCCTGAGCAATTCATACCCAGGCTGGATTGGTGGGGTTTCCAGGCAGGTGCCAGTGCTGCTGAGGAGGGGCTGGATTTCTGCCCAGGCTGTGCTGGATCCTCACACAGCCCCATGCAGAGGAGCAGAGGGCTGTGACAGTGTCCCTGTGACAGGGGTGTGGGGCTGTTGTACAGCCACTGCCTGCTGTGGAAGCCTTGACCTGCAGTCAGCCAGTCAGTAAGTGGTTTCCATCCCAAAACTCCATAGAAACCCCTGAGTGTTCTGGCTCTGAATAGTCTGTAAAATGTGCAAGGTCTGAATATTGGCCCTTTTCTTTTCTTTCTTTTTTTTTTTCCCCAAATGGCTACATGCCCTGAAGGACATAGACCTGCAGTGTCTGACTGGCAGTCCCAGCCTGGGCACCTCTCCTGCCAGGGATGCTGCTCAGCACAGGTCACTCAGAGCTGTGGCATGAAGAACCTGCCATCCTTAAGTGTTCTCACTGCCAGTCCTGTAGGCAGCTCTCTGCCACAGCAGCATCACCCTTCTCCTCATCTAGAAAAAGGAAAAAAATTACTCATAAACTCTTTTGAAAAAGGCACAAAACAGCACAAATCTTGCCTGTGTCTGTTTTTAAAGAAAAGAAAAATCATCTGAGGTCTTGTGTATTGTCCTTGGTGATGTTCGGAGCAGAACACCTGCCACTCTGAAACCCTTCCAGGTTTCCTGGTCGCTTTTTCCAAGCGAAGTCTTGCTCTATGGGAGGGAAAGGTTAAACGTGGGAGTGAACAGGGCAAAAGATTATGTGAAACAGAAATCCCAGCGCTGTTTGTTCTGCCATCTGCTCTGTGCTCGATCCAAGCTGTGGGTGGTTCCCAGAGTGCCCCTGCTCCCCCTCCTGCACGGCTGGCAAAGGGCTTTGAGCTGCCTGAGCTGGCACAGCGAGCTGGGTGAGCGCCATCCCTGCTGTCCTGGGGGAGCTGCCCTGTGGCAGGGTGAGGCTGGGTGCTGTGGCCTGGCCAGCAGCTGTGGCAGTGCTGGTGGCCATGCTGGAGCTGCCACTGAGAGCCCTCTCCAGCAGCAATCCAGAAAAGCCCGGACATCAGTGCCTTTGGCACAAACTCAGTGAATGCCAGGGTTGGCACATCTGTGCCATCCCTGCAGGGAGCACTGGGGCAGGACAGCCACAGCTTCCCTGGGACTGCTCATGGTTCCATCGTTGCAGCCATGCACCAGTGGTGCAGGATGCTCCCCAGTGAGCAGGGCAACTTGTGCCCATATGAGTTGCTGCCATCATCCCCAGGAAGCAGCAGCAGGGCAGGCTGGGCCCTGCACAGCCCTGTACCACACACCATCCTGCACTGGTGAGATGTGCTGAAGTGTGGGAGGATGGAGGTGATGTTTGTCCCTGCTTCGGGGACAGCTGGTGAAAGCTGGTGAAATCGTCTTGCCTCTTACCCCTAGAGCCCTTTTCTGCTCTGCCTCCTCCCCAGCCCACTTTTCCTGCTTTCCCCTGATCCCCAGCCTAGCTATGCCTGGGGCTGGGGGTTGTGCATTCCCTGTTCCTCATCCCCCTCTGCCCCTGCCCACCCTCCCCACAATGTGCTCACTTGGGAATGTGACCTTGCTCTCTAGATTATTTACAGACAAAATATTGCTGCAGGCCTGGGGAAGGGTTTGTGTTGTTTTTTCCTTTTTTTTTTAAGTGACTGGATTCCACAAAAACTGAATTATTCCAAGGGCGTGGGGGGCCTGGTGGGAATGCTTTGCTCTGTTTGGGAACAGGCTGCCTGCAGCCATCTTCCCTGGCCAGCACAGGGATGCTAGAGGCTCTTAGTTTCCCCAGCTATACGGAACAATCTGTCTCGGATTTTCTTGGAAAAACCCACCCCTTGCTCAGGGAAGGCTGCCAGGACAGGACATGAGCATTAACAGGGCTGTGGCACACATGGAACCAGGAGCTGGGCTGCCTCCCAAGATGTGTGAGCAGGCACAGAGAACTGCCTGCAGGTTAGTGCAGATTCAGGAGTGCTTTAGGTGGCTCCCTTCCCCACAGCCCTGTAGCTCTCCACTTCCCCTCACTTGGGAGCTCCTGGTCTCCTGCTGCTCTTGCGACGCAGGCTTGGTTTGCTGAGGACCTCAGACAGCACTGTCACATCCGATCGGAAGCTGTGGTGGGCTGATTTCTCCTTTTTTTTGCTTTTGCTGGCAGGACCAGCAGCTGCCCTTTTCCCACTGCTGACAGTTCTGCCTAGCTGAACTTCTGAAAGCCTCATGGTGGTGGTTTCCCACTGAGCAGAGCCCTCACACCCCTGACCTTGCACGGCTGTGGCCGTGTCCCCTTCGCGTGGCTGCTGGAGGCCACAGAGCTGTGCACTGCACAAAGCAGGGAGTTGTTGTGTTCCAGCAGCGTTGGGTGTTTGGGAAGGGGCTGACGTGGGGTCCCTGCCTGGTTTCCTTACAAGGTCAGTATAAGCCTTCAGGTTCCCGCAGCCTAGGAGTTGTCCCAAGTAAGGCTGTGTGCTCAGCTTTCATTTGGGAGTAAGCACTATCAGCTGAGCTAAACTTGATCACACATTAAGTGCCTGTTTTGCTGTGGGAAGAGTTCTTATGCCAAATCCCTTGGTCTGGCCCAGCATACAGTGTGGCTTGATCTCTCTGGAGAATGAGCTGGGGCTGCTGAAGGTCTGGCAGGAGCACACTCTCCTCCCTGCTGAAACCAGGGCTGCTGCCGGGAAGTTGCTCAGCAAGCCTGGCCACAGGGGTTGACCATGAAGGAGGCACTTGCAAAGCCATTTTCTGCCTGCTGCGGGGTTGGTGCCAGTCCTCTGGAGTGATTCCAGCTTTGCTAGCTTGTGGAGGTGATGGTCTCATCCAGGTCCTTGCAGAAGTGTTGGGTGCAGGAAGGATGCTGGGCAGTGAGAGGATGCTGAGGGGACGGTGCCTCTCTCAGGCAGGACCTTGATCAACCAAATGTGTTCAGCTGGTGGTGGTTTGGAAGCCCAGTTTG